GGAGGAGAGAAGAGTGAATAGGAAGAGAGAGAGAGAGGAAATGCGACAAAATGTAACCACGATGAAATATTAATTTACGGGTCAGAGGAATGCATTAACCGGAAGTACAGTCGGCTAGCCACAGCGCGGCAAGCTGTTGCATCCGGTCCTCTCGTTCGTCGAAATGAAACTTGATGAACTCTCGAGTTTCATCGTAAATCTGTTATAACATTTAGCAATAGTAAAAAAATCGGTATACGATACTACTCTTGATCGTCAAATACATATATAATTGGAGACGCGTGAATCTTGGAAGTGAATTCATTTCATGAATTCTTTTGGTTTTTACAAGTATTGTTTACAAGTAATATAGAATCGATTTAAGATAATTCTTAACATTGAAATAACTGTAAAATAACTGATAATTGATAATGAATAATTCTCCGTCCAGCAACATCTGTCTCTTCAAACGAACGATAAAAAATTTTTTTCCACGAAATGGTAATGAATATTCAGAAAATTCGAGATTCTCTTGGTTGTCCATAAAATTTCCATAAAAATATATTTCCGCGCATCGATCGGCCGTTTGGCGACGTTACATCGAGTATTTCGCAACACGATCGTGGTCTCGTCGCATTATCTCTTTTCGGTTGACAAATTCGCCACACGTATCCGTCATAAAATTCATTGCGCGTGCAACGATTACGCGAACCTCCCGGAAATGCAGCGGCGCGGGCTTATCGCGATAAACTTGAACAATGACCGTGGTGGCTCTAGCCGGAAGATTGTGTGCGCGAAAACGGAAACGTGAAAAAAAGAAGCGACGCCAACATTACAGGAACCACGTACAAAACGGTCCAAATAGCTGATATTTCTTTGTCCTCTCTCGCAAATCATTTTGCCGAATCGCGTGACAGAATGAAAGCTATCATATTTTACACATCCTGTTGAAATTGATCGTGTTTTCCAATCCAAAGTTAATATTATTCATTTATTAACTATTCTGATAATCACTAAGTTAAAAAAGGAAAAAGGACATTTCGTATTCCTAGTCGATCTTTTGTTATAAAATAAAATATAAAATTAAATAAATTTAAGTCTTCATTTATGTGGTGATAACAAATCAGACACGAATTTCATTAAAAAAAAAAACGCGACAAAGAATTATTAATTTTGTCATCAAGACCCATTTAGAAGATAAAGGAAACCACGTTATTGAAGTTGGTTTTTGATTCATCGCGATATCTCGATCCGTTGCCGAGATATAAACGTTCAAAGTTTATAGTGATTAAGACAGCGCAAAAATTATGAATGGGCTCGCGATCTATATTCTTGGAAATGCGTATTACTTCCAGGAATTACGTCTGCAAGTTGTCTGGAGTTTGAGACAGGTCAGTGAGACGAGGTGCGAATGAGAGGTCAGAATAAACGACAAAGACGGGGATAATAAAGGATCAAAAATTATCCTTTTCTTTACACGATGATATCTCGGGAACCGGAAGTCGTATCGGGATAAATGAAAAAGAGTTTCAAAGGGCAAGATTTCACGCTTCTAATAATCTTTCACTCGTTGATAAGAAATCATTATCGTGGAAGTTATAGCGATTTAAATTTTTCCTAATTTTAATAGGACTTAATCGAGTTTAAAGATTAAATTATGCCATGGATACGTTTATTTCTGATAAAATCGATTGTTTATAAGGGTTTTATTAATGGTATGTTGAAGGGTTTAAGCCGATTTAAAACTTTTCCTCGAAGTAAATTGGATCTTTATTCAATCGATTTCGTTCCAGTTTAATTATATTGATTAATCAAAGAGGATTTTATAGATTCTTCCTTTTGTATTTTAGCCCCTTTTCAATCGAGTAATGTATTGCTGCGACATTTTATTTTATCGTCAACAATAAGTGAGATATTTAATCAAGTTAAATAGGGCACTTTGAATAATAACAAAATCGATTTTCTGTTAATAAATTATTAGAGCACTGCAATACTATTACTACTGTACATTGGGATATGATACAGATTCTAACAATCGGAGAATGCATCATAACGCACAAAAATTTCATGAATTAATTTAATCATATATCACTCCATTAAATTAATCTCTGAAGTGACGAGTGACAAAGTGACACGAAAATATTTTAAATATTCTAACCGTAAATTATCAACAATTTCACATTGTTGTTTTCTCTCTCGGATTAAATTATTATTATTTACCTCGAAGATAAATCAATTTGATGTTGTTCTGTTTTCTTCTTTCGTGGATTAATGACGTTCAACAAAGTGACAACTCTCTCATTGCGATAATTGCGAATCAATGTGGCGTAGAATTCATCGAACCTTTACCAATCATCTATTATTTAATGTTACAGTCTTAACATAATAACATAATAATTTCGCGATTTCAATTTTCTGTCAAATTAATTTATTAAACTTTTCTTGAGCATTGAGCACGTAAAAAAAGAAAACGAATAAAAAAAAGAAAGTAATATAAAAAAAAAGTTAATTTTCTCATATCGCAATAAATCAAACTGACTTAAATTACTAAGTTTCGTCGTTACATTTTTACGGCAGATTTGACTCAAGATCGAGACATCTGGTCTCCAATTAAAAAA